GTCATTGACAATGATCTAGAAAAATGGAGATACATTCAGACATATATAAAGAATGGTACCACCATTTTTCTAATAACCCAGGTTCATAATCTAGGAATCATTATTGATTGTTCACTTTCCCTCCACAGTAGTAAGTCTTAATGATTCAACCCTTTCAATACCTTTTACATCAGTATCTTTCTCTCTACTCATACCATAACTAGGCCCTCATCACCTGTACCTAGACCAGGGGTGGGCAACTTGGGGCCTTGAGGCCACATGTGCCCTCTAGGTCCTCAAGTGCAGCCCTTTGACTAAATCCAAACTTCACAGAACAAATCCCCTCAATAAAAGGATTCGTTCTATAAAACTTGGACTCAATCAAAAGGCCACACCCAAGGACCTAAAAGGCCACACATGTGGTAGCCTTGAGCGGCTGCAGATTCCCCATCCCTGGCCTAGACATAGTTAGGGAGACTTGGTCTCCCCGCTTTAAGTCTCTAAATTCTCCAATACATCCTATACATAGCAAATAAATGGCTATTATTAAAGCACCGTATCTGACCATGTCACTCCCTTATTCAAAAAGCGTTAATAGCTCCTAATCCCACATGCCTGGAGTGCTCTCCTTCTTCGAACTCTTAGTTTCCTTCAAGGCTAAGCTCAAGTGCTAATTCCTTCAAGAGGCCTTTCCCGATTTACCCAGTTGTTAGCACCACAACACCACAAATCACATGTGTCTCCTGTATACTTATCTCTAAATATAATGTGCTCCCCTGGTAGAATGGAAATTCCTTGAGAGTAGGGTGAGCTCACTTTCTTACCTGTGTCCTCAGCACCTAGAATAGGACCTGGCACATAGCAGGAACTTAATGCTTGCAGATCCAGGATGAAACAAGATTACTTAGAACTAAGGAAACAGATCTAGAAAGAAATTCTAAAATCATGAATTGTTCTGGCTTTTTTTCAGCTCTAAGCCTTCTTGAGCCCTTTGCATGCATCAGTGTTCACCATTCTCTTTATGATGCTCAGCTCTCCCTGGATTTTAAAGAAGCATCTCCATTTTTCCTGATTACCATCTATGACCAGTCCCTTACGTATAGGTATACCTCAGGAATTGTCTTAGGCCCTTCTCTCTTCTTTCTATACATTCTCTTTCAGTTTTTTCCCTTAAACGATTGATTAAAAACCCAATGTTGAACATTAATACAAAAGTACAAATAATTGAACTTGCTTAGTAACTATTTACATACAGATTAATCAGTTTCAATGTATAATACCATTCCAAGTTCCCATTAGAATTTTTTATCTGTTTGTTCTTGGTCATTTTTTTTTCAATTTGCTTTTCCTGGTATGTACACTCCATCCTTCTAGTTCTGCTTTTTCCACTTTGCATTATTTCATAGAAATCATTCCAGATTTCTTTTTATTCTTCATAATGTCTTACTTGCATTAATGTATCATAACTATTTAACCATTCTTCTATTAGGTATGTTAGTTGCTTCCAGTTTTTTTGTAAATATATACAAAGCTACTTGAATGGGACACTTTTTTTTTTTTTGGTAAGGCAATTGGGGTTAAATGACTTGCCCAAGGTCACACAGCTAGTAAGTGTCAAGTGTTTGGTCTGAGACTGGATTTGAACTCAGGTCCTCCTGACTTCAGGGCCGGTGCTCTATCCACTATGCCACCTAGCTGCCCACTTTTTTGTTTTTTAAAACACTTTAGAGTGTAGCTCAATAGTGGATTTACCGGGTCAAAGGGCATGATTATTTTTGTAACTTTTACTACATACTGTCAGATTGTTCTCCAAAAAATATTCTACAATTTTGCAATTTCACCAGCAAAAAACTACCTGTTTTCCACAACTCCATCAGGGCTGAGTTTTGTCGCTTTTAATTACTTTTGCCAATTTGTTATTATAATTCTGTATTTCCTACAGAGTTTTGCAGAGTTAAGCAACATCTCCTACTAGACATCTCTGTCTATATATCCCATAGATATTTCAAATTCAATGTGCCCTAAAGGTAATTCTTATCTTTCCACTCAAATCCCTCTTCCTAAATCCCTATTTCTGTGGCAAACCCTACTATCCTTCTAGTCCTCCAGTTCTAAACCTCATGGTCATTCTCTACTCTTCCTTTCACCCTACCTCTCATATTCAATCAGTTACCAAATCTTGTCAATTCTGATTGCACATTTCTCACTATTGTTCCCTACCTCCCTAGTTCAGTCCTTTATTACCTCTTGCCTGCACTAAAAGCCTAACTGGTCTCCTTGCATCTAGCCCCACTTCAAACCATCCTGAATAAACAGTCCTGAAGCTAGGTCTGACCATGCCATTCCCCAACTAAAGAAGCTTTGGTGGATCCCTATTTTCTCTAGGATAAAATATAAACGCTTGGGCATTTAAAACCCTTTACAATCTAGCTCCAGCCTATCTTTCTAGACTGATTTCAAGTTACTCCCTCTCACACACACTCTATGTTCCAGCCAATTTGCTGTTTCCCAAATTCAACATTCCATCTCCTAACTTGGGACCTTTGCACAAGCTACTCCTCATGCTTGGAATGCTCTCTATCTTATCTACCAACTCAGGCAACATTTCCTACATGAGACTTAGTTCTGCCCTCTGGTGCCAGGCAGAACAAGACTAATTCCTCTTCTACATAACAGCCCTTGACACACTTGAAGTCAGCTATTATGTGCCCTCACCCCTGCCAAGTCTTTTCCTTCAACTAATTACCATACAGCATGATCTTAAAGGTCATCCCTATCTTGGTTACTCTTCTTTGGACAGTCTCCAACTTATCTCTGAACATGATGTTTCCTCCAGATGAATGTAATCTCATTGAGGGAAAGGGATATTCAATATTATCAGTGCTTTGCACACAGCAAGTACTTAATAAAAAGTTGGACTCCTGACTTCTGATGTCCTTTCCAACTTTAAAATTTTGTGAAATTAGAAACTATAAATTACTTAAAGGAGAATACTATGCCTGAAATAGCAGGCAAAGTTCAAAACAACTTTAAGAAAACTGCTAGAAAAGAAATGCCCAGTAAGAACTTTCTTTTCACCTTAAATTTCAAAGTCCTACATGATTTTTCTTGGGCAAATTAGTCCACAGCTCTTTCTGATTAACACATGAACTGAACTTTCTTCTACCTTCAACTCAATAGTGAAACAAAAAGCCCAACAGTTAATTCAATCCTGGCGGTGGGTATAGTAATAAAACAAGAAAATTTTCATCTAACTTGACCCTTCTAAGATAATTTCAGGAGGACCCTCCAAAGCCAAATGATGTTAAGAACTCTTTAGTGAAACATCTTTTGGCAGAATAGCTACCAAAAGAAAAAAAACAAAGAAGAAACTAAAAAGTCTTTGACTTTTGCTTTTGATAGTAGGTTTATCTATAGCAATTCTCAAGGCAAATTTCTTCTCTGCCTTCATATTCTATGAAGCACACATGCAACTATATTTAAATATAATTAATCCCAAACTTCCTTCCCCAAGTAACACAGAAACCTAACTGAACAAAAGCAAAATAGCTACTTTAAATGCAGCAGCCATTTAATGAGTTTATAGTCATAACTGTTGACTGCTTTTCACTCTCTGCCTCTGACCTCAAACAGAAAATATCTACCTCTCCAACTCCTTTCTGGTCTCCTAATGTGATAAAGTTTTAATGCTTCATCTTCAATCCCTCTCTCTCAGTTCAAATATCAAGGTCTCATGAAAAAACTATTGTATGTGACTGTCCATGTCATTCCTTCAAAACAAAAATTTCTGAAGGGCAAAGACTATCTCTTGAAGGAAGTTTATAAACCTCAGCACCTTCCAGGGATAAACTTAATAATTAACCAGTCCTACAGAGACATATTTCTAAAACTGAAAAGAATATCAGTTCAAATTATTTTCATCAGTGTCAGTGACAAAGTATCTGACGGCAAGTAGCACCAAAAGCCTTAAGAAATACAGTACAAATATGATGTGGGTCATATTTTCAACTTTTATTGTAATCCACTCTTTTCTGCAGGCTAATTTGTTTTCTCGTCCTGAGCTTGATAACCTGCTTTATCACACAATTACACCAATTCCAGGAAACCTCACTTACTTCTTGGCTTCCACACTCCTCTTGTTCTTCTGCTGCCTGAAGTGTGTGGGTCCGGGGGCCTAGCAAATCACAAACATGGAAGTTACTACTATACGGAGAGGCAGCGCTGTGAAGGGGATAGAACGACAACCTCACAAGAGTAAGCCCTAACTTGATGTATGTCCCTCCTCTGCCACAGCCAGGCTCGGTGATCCTGAGGAAGGAAGTCACTTAACCTTTCAGTGCCCCAGACAACTCTAAGACTAAGTCGCGGAACAGCGCTCCGGTGGCATTACTTGAAGGAGTTTTTCTCACCAAGAGGTCCCTACACCAATAAACTCATATGTAACTTACTACCTAGCGACCTTGGAACAGAATCTGCCCCCACGAAGAGAAAACCCTCTGCTCACAAAGGCAGCCACGCTTTCCGAGGAATACCTCCACTTCAGCACACAAGGCTGGCTGGGATCGCGTCCCTCCAACCTAGGAGGGAGCAGAGCGTCCCCCCCGGCCCCGGCCCCACGCTGGCCTGAGGCCCGGCTAACTGAGCCAGCCCCACCGTTTCTACGCCCGCCTCGGAACTACAGTGCGGGGGCGAGAAGGAAGGCCGCCCTCCGGGCTTGGTCGCGGGGCCGGGGCAGTTGGAGGAGGAGGAAGGGAGGGTGGGGGGCGGCGTCACCCACGAAGAGGCTCCGGCCCAGGGACCAAGAACCTGCAGCGGCCGAAGCGCGCTATCTCCCCCCACCCCACTCCTCCTCCGGCCCTGACGGCCTGAGAAGCAGACGGGGAACCAGAATGTGAGTGGGAACGGCCCCAGGATCGCAGTGAAAAATCAGGGGTTCAAGGCTCCGGAAAAGGGGCCCCCCAAACCAGTCTACTCACAGAAGCTACCACAGAGCGTCCGGAAGGCATCGCCCCCTCCAGCCTTTACTTCAGAAACGTCATCACGGCGCGACTCAAAGGTGCTGGAGAGGAAAGGAGGATAACGTCACGTCCGCTCCCCGCGCGCGCCGGAAGTCAGGTGTCACGTGGTGACGTTCCGCTTTTCTTTCTGTGCCATTCATAAGGCTTTTAACCTGTTTTGTAGATATTAGAATGTAGCAGAAGGAAGAGTCTTTAATCGCCTCCCCCGCCCCCCCTTTTTTTTCAGATTGGGAAACTGAGGATTAGAGTGAGGAATTGATTCTGGAGTGAGATTCTGGATTCTGGAGAAATATAGACAAGATTTGAATCTAAGTCTGCATTTGAGCTCAGGACCGAGGCTGGTGGCTGGTACTTGCTAGTTGTTGCTCAGTCGTGACCAACTCTTCGTGACCCCATTGGGGATTTTCTTAGCAAAAAAAGTGGTTTGCCATTTCCTTCTCCAGCTCATTTTACAGATGAGGAAACTGAGGCAAACAGGGTTAAGTGACTTGCCCACCATCACACAGGTAGTGTCTGAGGCTAAATCTATCCATTGCGCCCCCTCACTGCCCTCGTGCTTGCTAGATAGTCAAACAGGTTAACACATTCTGTATTTACTTCTTTTATTGGAGAAAAGTTACAGACCCCTCGCAGATAATTTCCTTAGACACACGCTTAGGGATCATGTAAGTAGGGTGATAGAGTGCAGTGAAGGGAAAGCTAGTAGATTAGCATGGAGAAGAACAAAATGATTGAGTACTTGGGAGTAGATTTTTCTTCTGCAGCTCTCCTGGATCTTCTTTGCCTCAGGGCTGGGAACTGAGCTTGCCTTTCAAAGCCTGTCATTCTGAGATACCTTATCTGTCCTATCACGCTGAGCATCTTGCTGTTGAATCTTCTGTTTTAACACTGGTCCTCCTAGAATGACTTTATGCCTCTGGCTAGTTTGTTCAGTTTTGTTGTTTTTTTTTACAGATCCATCACAGCTCTCCCTCTGGCCTGGAGATTTGTACAGGTGTGATGGCATAGAATGGGAAATCTTGTTGCTGTGTGGAACTGGAACTAGGGATGTGGAGCTGTGGGATGGTCTAGATTTGGGTGTGGATTCAAGAAATGATCTAGATGAGTTAATCGTGTTACTCTTTGGAGCCCTATTTAGTGGTCTGAATGCTTCTGTTTCCTTGCCATCTCTCTCTGGCTTCCTTTCCATTTTAGTGGCTAGACGAGTTGTATTTAGAGGCTTGACCCCCTGCTTCCCCTCATTTTTGGAACCATGTTGTACATGAGATTGTTCAAGGAAAACTGAACCTTGTTGCCTGGATGGCCTTGCCCTAGAAGCATGTATCTGTTGGAATGAAGGCTTTGGTGGATAAGCCATACCAAGTGCTCTCTTTATACTGAGGCAGAGCCATTGCATGAGTCCTGTGGACTTCTCAGAAGGAGTGCTTGGAGGAGCTATTTTCTGGGCCTCCATAGTCCTTCCCTCTGGATGTATCTTTCTATCCTTGGGAGTACTCTGTCTCGGCACTCTTTCAATTTTCTGAGTTGTAGTTCTGATTTCCTTGGGGGTCTTCACTTGTTCTGAGTCAGGGATCCGTTTAGCTTCACTGCTAGCCCAGCCATCTTCGATATCAGTGTCCAGTAAAGAATGTATTGTAAAGTCATATTGCTCAGGCTCTCCACTTTCTGTTTTTGCAACCTCTACTCGCCTGCCAGGTAAATTTCTTTTGATATGAACTTGAATAGGTTCAGGGTTTTCAGAACGCTCAGGATTCTGGAAAGGCTCAGGTCCTAAATCTTTATTAGGGCAGGGGTTTAGAGTAAGATTTTTCTTCATGACATGACAGGTACAGACCTCATCCTTTCTCTTCTCTGATGGGTCAGACTGTGATGATGCACATTTCATTGACACCAAAGACCCTACTTCTCTTTGCTGCTTTGGAGTTTGGGTTTGGTTTCGGGTTCTTAACCTAAAGCCAAGATGAACCCGAAACTCCCCGTGTCCCTCAGAGTTACGAAAAAGGTGGAGCTGTGGATAGATAACAAGCCAAGGCCCAACAGAGTCATGGAACTTGTGGGGGCAACTGGGGCCTGAACATCTGCCACACTGCAGACAGATAGGGTACTGTAGAACCATACCTGTAGTTTGGGATGGAGTGAAATGGGGAGACAGTTGATTCTTTAGGAGCTGTTGTGTTATTTTCAGCTGCAGGTCCTGTAGTTGCTGGGTCTGTTCATGGGAAGAAGTTACTGTCAGAGGCTGAGATTCAAAAGTTCTTATCTGTGAGCTGGTATCTGGTTTTTCATTCTGCTCCACTGAAACAGGTTTCTGCTCAGTACTAGATATCTTGTGGGAGGAAGGCAGCTGTGCACTTGTATTCTGAGGTAGCTCACTTAACTCTGAGGGGACTTGTTCCCTTTCCTTCCTTTCCTCCATAGGTTCACGGCTTCCTTGGGCTTCTTTTGTGGTCAAGTTAGAATAGTCCTGAGATGTACTGGGCCTAGAATCCTCTAGCTGTTCATTGAAGGGTAAATTCTTCCAACAGAGTTCGCATAGGATACCCATAATCTTCCCTTGATAGCTCTGGGAAACTGTCGTTTGTCTTGGTAGGACAACATGCCCATTTGGGGCATCTGGATAGGGAATTGGAAGTGGTCTTTGGACATGAGCCTCCTGGATATGATGTGCTTGCCGCATCTTAGCCCCCAGGTTCTTCCTTAGCATGGCAGTATTAGAGGATGATTTTCTCTTTGCCACTCTTCCTTTTGAAATTTGCTGCTCCTGGGCCTTCACTTGCCTCTTTGAAACAGGCTGTTTTAGGACTCTTGGGGTCCTTAATCCTTTTTGGCAGAAACTATTCCCTGATTTCCGAAGTGGGAGTAAAGGAGCATGGAATAGGCACTGAAGGCTCAGCTTCCATTGCTGTAAGGAATGTGAGGGCTGCACAGAAAGAGGCCTGGGAAGAGTTGAAGGTTGTGCCGTCTTGGAAAATTTGCTACACATTCTTAAAATAAAGGGCTTTAGAATCACTATGTTCTCATGCAAGTCTCCTAACATTGATCTCAGAATTTCCTGTGTGTTAGAGCCATGAAGGCCTTGTTTCAGCTTAGCGGCAATCCTACTAGAATCTAAAATGTATAGAGGTGTGGAGCCCTGGGTAACATGGAAAGACTCCCCAGTTGGTGACTGCAACTCTGGAGGTGGTTGCTTAGGATCTATGACTTGAAACTTTGGCCTTGAGGTCAATTCCACAGACTCTACAACTTCAGTTTGTGGCCTGGGGGTCAGCTCTAAAGAATCTATGACTTGAACATGTGGGTTTAGGGTCAGACCCTTAGAATCTTTGAATTTATTCTGTGACCCCTGGGCCAGCCCCTTGGAATCTTTGACTTTGACCTGTGATCCCTGAGCCAGCCCCTTGGAATCTGTGAGTTTGACCTGTGACTCTGGAATCAGCCCCTTGGAATCTGTGAGTATGACATGTGACCCAGGGTTCACCCCCTTGGAA